TCCCTTTTTTTCAAAAGTAAAATTTTAATGTATTTATTCTTTTTTTTCCCTTCTTTTTTAGTAAAATTTTAATGAATTTATTCTTTTTTTCCCTTCTTTTTTAGTAAAATTTTAATGTATTTATTCTTTTTTTTCCCTTTTTTTCAAAAGTAAAATTTTAATGTATTTATTCTTTTTTTTTCCCTTTTTTTCAAAAGTAAAATTTTAATGTATTTATTCTTTTTTTTTCCCTTTTTTTCAAAAGTAAAATTTTAATGTATTTATTCTTTTTTTTCCCTTCTTTTTTAGTAAAATTTTAATGAATTTATTCTTTTTTTCCCTTCTTTTTTAGTAAAATTTTAATGTTTTTATTCTTTTTTTCCCCTTCTTTTTAGTAAAATGTTAATGCTATTCTCCCCCCCCCCCTCTTTTTTTTGTTTGCAATATTAATATGTATTTGTTCTTATTTCTTTCCCAGACGAAGAGAAGGCGGAAGCTCTAGAGAACGGAGAGGTTTACAACGTGACCAAGTTCTGCGTCATCATCTTGGCCTTCAGTAACAGCCTGCTTAACCCTTTCATATACGCTTTCTTCAATAAAAACTTTATTAACGAGGTAAGCACTTAACCCTTTCATCTATGCTTTCTTCAACAAAAACTTCATTAACGAGGTAAGCACTTAACCCTTTCATCTACGCTTTCTTCAACAAAAACTTCATCAACGAGGTAAGTACTAAATGTGAGGCGTGCTGACAAAATGAGTCACTTCTCAAATACTAGTCCTATGGACATAGATCCATCAAATTTTCCGGTTGAGATTATACAATATATTTGTATGAAATAATAAAAGAAATATCAAACTTGAAGAAAATAGCATCCGTTAATGATCTACAAATTTGACTCCTGGGCCGATTTTTGTCCCATGTCTCCATTCGTGGACTGCGAGAAATAACTCATTTTGTCAGCATGCTGCACAAATCCTTTCATCTACACTTTTTTAAAACAAAAACTTCATCAACGAGGTAAACACTTCACCCTTTAATCTACGCTTTTTTTAAAAACAAAAACTTCATCAACGATGTTAACACTTACTTAACCCTTTCATTCACGCTTTCTTCAATATAATCTTCATCAAAGAGGTAAACACTTACTTAACCCTTTCATCTACGCTTTCTTCAACAAAAACTTCATCCGCGAGGTAAACACTTAAACCGTGCTACGAGGGTGGTTGGCGGGTGTGTGGTTAGCGGGTGTGTGGTTAGTTCCTTCTGCCTTCCTTCCCATCAAACATCTGTTATCCTTATCTCTACTCCTTTTCTTTGTATGTTACGCTTTAGTAACGCCTCTAATCTTCGGCACTATCCAACATTTATCTCCTCCCTCTTGTTTGTGATTGTTCCTTTCTTGTAACACCTCTAATCTGCTCCACTTATATGATCTGATTATAATATTCTTGGAAGTGCCGTGAAACTCTAACTAAACCTAGAAATTAAAAAGACCATTAAAAAACAAGTACTTGTACCTAAAAGCTTATCTCATAACTTATATTTGTGCAACCGTTTCTTAAATGTGTCGCAGCGTGGCGGAATCAGGCTCTCGTCAAAATAATCCAAGTGAAGAAAATTGCATTTTTCCGTAGGTTTGTGAGTTTTTATCAAATTTTTGTTTTTTGGCTCAACACTTTTCATTCCCATTAAAGAACTCATTTCCGTGTGGATTTTTCTTAAAAACGTTGATTAAAGGCACAAAAAAATGTAAATTTTCAGTTACCACGGACTCTGAAAATCAGGAAATAACTAATTTTCGGCGCCCATTTTCTCACTTATTTGACCTCTGAAAACAGGTGACCCCCACCTCCTTCATTCGCAAATATCTCGACTTGTATTCAATATAAATTGATCTTTTTTTCATCCAAATATACAAGTGAACAAGTCTAAAGATGATACCAATAACTCTACATGCCCAAAGATGGACGAGAACCTGATTCCACCACGATGCCTCACAAATGTCAATGGCTTTGCCACAACAATCGTTCAACTGTAATGGCTTTCACAAGTAATCCTCAGAAGTACAAAAAGTTCTGTTTGGAGAAATTTAACGCCAAAGATTTGGAGTTTCCTTCCATGTCAAGCTTTTCGAATGCAATTTTTTGAATATAATGATATCTTGATAACGACTCCAAATAATCTTACGATTTTGGCCAAGCATATAGCAGATTTATTTTCTGACCTCATAGTTTTATAGTAACTCAAAACAGCAAAACATGTCAGAAGATTGTAATTCTGAGGTAATAATAATAA